ATTTATCAGTTAGACGTCAAGTCAGCCTTTCTGAATGGAGAGCTAAGATAAGAAGTGTATGTGGAGCAACCGGAAGGATTCATCAAAGAAGAAGGAAAAGTTCTTCGTCTAAAGAAAGCGCTTTACAGGCTCAAACAAGCTCCACGAGCGTGGTATAGCAAGATTGATGGATACTTCACCCGTCAAGGGTTCAGGAGGAGCAAGAACGAGGCTACAGTATACATCAAATTCCAAGGTAAATCTGACATTCTCATCATCTCTCTATATGTTGATGACTTAATTGTCACAGGAAATAATTCAAAATTAATTGAAGAATTTAAGAGAGACATGATGAACATTTTTTAGATGAGTGACTTGGGTTTAATGCATTACTTCCTTGGCATGGAGATAAGTCAAGAAGAAGAAGGCATCTTCTTATCTCAAGAAAAATATATAAAAGACATGCTAAAGAAGTTCAAAATGCAAGACTGCAAAGTTGTCGTTACTCCATTGGTTCCTAATGAGAAATTGAAGAAAGAAGATGGGTCAAAGAATAAAGACGCTACCAATTACCGGAGTTTGATTGGGAGTCTACTCTACGTAACGGCTACGAGGCCGGACATAATGTATGCTACAAGCTTGCTCTCAAGGTTCATGGAAAGTCCCGCTGAGACTCACTATGGAGCGGCAAAGAGACTCCTTAGGTATCTACAAGGGACAATTAGCTATGGTATTTGGTACAAAACAAGCTCCGAAACACGACTAACTGGATATAGCGACAGTGATTGGGTTGGATCTCAAGATGACATGAAAAACACATCTGGTTACGCATTTATGCTGGGTTCGGGAATTTTCTCATGGGGATCAAAGAAACAAGATTCGGACGCACTATCATCAGCAGAAGCCGATTATGTTGCAGCAATCGGAGCAGCTTGCCAAGCTATATGGCTGAGAAGAATATTAGAAGACATGGGAGAATTGCAAAGTTCTGTGACAGAGGTATTTTGCGACAACAAGTCAGCTATTGCGATGGCTAAAAATCCAGTTCAGCACAATCACACTAAGCACATCGATATCAAGTATCACTTCCTGAGAGATGTCCAAGCAAAGGGGGCATATTGAGATGAGGTACTGCCCAACAGAAGAACAATTGGGAGATATTTTTACGAAGGCCCTACCAAGAGACAGATTCCAATTTTTGAGAAGAATGCTTGGAGTTACCGACAAATGCATCAAGGAGGAGTATTAAATAGTGATGCATTTATCTAGAATATTCTGTGTAGAAAAGGATAGGAATGTTCTAGAGAGTTAAGGCAAATATAGTTCTAGAGAATTCTCTACTAGAGAATTCTTAAGTAGAGTCTAGAATAATCAAAGGTAGAATATTCTAGATTACTAGCATTTAATAAGCATCTAGAATGATCTTCTTGCACCTATAAATAGGACCTTTTGTACTCATTTGAAAACCAAGCAAACCAAGCAACATCAATACAATACTACTTTTTTAGAGACAAAAGCTCTACTCTAAAACATCTCCTCTACACTACACCTCACTAAAATCACTTATCCTACTCATACAACCAACAACCTCTTCTATTTTCTAACAGGTCTCGATGTCCTTTTTACACACAAATACATATTTCAAATAAAATATCTATCTATATACTCCCTCCGTCCCTAAATAAAAGCATCAGTTTCCTTTTCGGGTCGTCCCAAAATAAAAGTTCCCTTTCCTTTTTTGGCAAACAAAACAGTGCAAAACAGTGCCAAACAGTGTCCAAACAGTGCCAAACAGTACCAACCAAACCCACTTTCTTAAAATGTGTGGAAAATGAATGAATACTTTTATATATGGACGGAGGGAGTAACATTTTAAGTACTGTACACTAGAGCAACGAGCTCAATATATACTCTATGCTTGAGTTTTCTAGAATAGAGCACTAAGAGGCGAGGTAATAGAAAAAAGAACAAATAAATACCATACATATCTTTACCTTGATTATGAATTATTTCATTTATATAGATTTCCTATATTTTCAATTCGATTATATACTAAAAATCATTATCTATCAAATGAATTATATTTTAGGGGAATCTGGCCGTGCAAACTGCAAAGCATGGGTGGATTGAGAAGTTGTGTCTACAATTAGAGAACAGTAATCGTGAAGAAGAATGAATGGTAAATAAAATTCTTATAGTGGTTATTTAGTTTTTCTAAGGAGGAAATAGAGAAATTTGTAAGAAGATAGAGCAATAGTAATATGAATTGATCTTATTTTGAAATTTTAAATTACTTGAAGTTACTTATAAGAAATACCTAAGTATTTCATAAGAGAAAAACATTACAATTGGTTCATTTACTATGAGAATAGAAGGGGAATTCGATCTCAAACTCCATTTTTGGGTTATATTGGAGTCAACACTCCACTTTCATAATCATTAATGTATGCACCTCATCGGTCCAAAAATTGTGAATGAATTAGGATGTAAAGATGAATATCACCCAAAAAAGATGCAAAGTCCAATTTATCCATTTTTTGGGTACGAAGCCAAATCCCCAAATATGACTTTGTTACTAACTAAAATTCAAAGTATAGGTATTGTCCAAAAAAATATCAAAGTATGATACGGGGTAAAATGTTAGATGTTAGTAATGTTTGTATCTTATTAATGAAATTTTGCAGTTAGGTATCCAAAACATCGTTCATAAGAAAGCAGTTAACAATATTTAAATAATCATTTTATTTTAGGGATTCGACTTTTGTTTATTTGGTTTTATTAAGGACTGCACCTATTTTCAACTACGTTATTTAATGAGGAAATAGATAGAAATGATATGAACCAAGTAGTACACATGTATGAAATACAAAAAAAAAGTGGTTGTAGCTAAGCATTTTATTTAGTTGGTTGACCTTTTTCGGAGTGTACTTTAACACATTTAAAAAACTTTGAGTCACCGACACTTATACTCTCTTGCATCACAGCAAATGTGATATATCATTCTTTTTTGGGTTTTATCAAAATAAATGTTACTCCGTACATTTTAGTTTTTGGAAATAAATTCTGTATTATTATTGTACCAAAAATCTCTTACTTTTTTGAAAAATGTATAGTAAACTAATACGGAGTTACTCGTATAAATTATCTTAAACTACGTGAAAAGTTTATTGAGACACATATTATGGTATGAAAATAGCACATGATAGTTAAATGAATGTATACATATTTTAAGTTACTTAAAAAATTCAATAATTAAATATAACTAAAATGTGAAACTTTAATTTTTTAAAAGTAAAATATACAAAGGTCAAAATTAAACGGGAAAAGGGGCAAATAAGCCCTCGAATTAATCGAAAAAGTGCAAATCACCCCTTTTATAGGAGGCTCTATCCGGCCATCACCATTTGAGGGGGTTTCCGCTGGAATTTTTTGATGAAATTTTTTGAGCATCTTCTTCATTAAGTCTAGTTTACCCATACCAAATTTCAAGTAAAAATTCCATCGTGAAGGCAGTCAAATAAATGTAATAGATTATAAGTCTTAAAGAGAAGGGAGAGATAGAGAGAGGAATGATATGCATTAATGAATTTCCAACCTTTTTATTTCGGATCCTCTACAATGAAGAATTGACTTGCTATTTATAGCAGCCATAAATGCTAAGTGTAATTAATGCGGGTACACGTGTCAAACGATCAACGGTGGAGGGTTGACTCAACCAGGGTGACGCCGACAATAGCATGTGGCACCGCATTTAATGCGGTGGTTGGACATGACACCGCATTTAATGCGGTGGTTGGACATGACACCGCATTTAATGCGGTGATCTAGAGCGTGCAGAGAGGAGATCTTGTCGGGGTAGTGTTGAAGGTCGTACGTCCCCGGGGGACCATTATGTGACGAAGGTCGTACGACCCCGGGGTTTTCCATGTGCTGAAGGTCGTACATCCCCGGGGTCTTTGATGTGCCGAAGGCCGTACGTAGTCGCGCGGGGGACCATTATGTGCTGAAGGCCGTATGTCCCTGGGGTCTTCATGTGTCGAAGGCTGGACGTATTCGGGGGTCCTCATGTGCCGAAGGCCGTACGTCCCCGGGGTCTTCCATCTGCCGAAGGTTGTACGTAGCCCGGGGGCCTTCATGTGCCGAAAATCGTACGTCCTCGGGGTCTTCATATGCTGAATGATGTATGTAGCTCGGGGGGGCGTCATGTCTTGTTTGCTGTGTTTGGGCCACTTAGGCCTGTTGGGCTTGTTCGTAGTGGTGGAAGTATGTGGGTCATGGTATCTGGACCCATATACTCCATCAAAATGTTTGAAGATAATTGCACAGTTAAACAGCGCAGTATATTTCAGAAAATCATTTAACTGTCTTCCCTGTTGAATTTTTCCTGAAATTTGGTATGAAGAAGATGTTCAAAAAAATCATCGAAAAATTCCATCGGTAAACACCCTAAAAGGCGACAGGGCCTCCTATAAAATGGATGATTTGAACATTTTCGGTTAGTTCGATGGTTTGTTTGCCCCTTTTGAATGGACCTAATTGAGCCCTAATTTGGTAATAAAAGAGAACAAAATACGGAGTAGAAGATCTAGGTGACGGGGTAAAACGAGGAGAGGTCATATTTGTAGGGTCGACCGTATCTTTGTCCATCAAGAAAGTAGGTATACGCTACATACAGTACCATCACCAAATATGGCCCAAGAACGGAAACAAACGATAGTGTGGGCTGTGGGATGCGGTGGCAACCGTCAGATCTTGTGGGCCCATTTTGTTGTCATAGGTAAAAACAATATGGCCGAACTTTCATTTCGAAATCCTTGAGTACCAAAATTACCATTCCTGCTCAAATTAGATCCATCTTTTTTCGTTTCATTAAAATTAGTTGTTATAAAGTTTTTATGATTTTATTATATCATCATACTTAATAATTTAATATTCTATATAATGGTAATAGGACGGAAACGGTGGTCAAGGATGTTTGTCATCATCAATCGGTTTTTGGAAAGAAAAGAAGGAAAACTTACTTGGAGCGAAGCAAAGGATAGACGAGCATTGGGCCGCCGACCCCATGCTTCAAAAGCTTCTTGAAGACGAGCCGGTCGAAGCGAGCCATGTGGGATTTGGAGACAAAGAGGTTGAGCCAGGGGTGAGGCGCATCCCACATCCCATTCGCCCTCGCCTCTTTCTCTGACTTTTTCACCCGCATCAAGAAATCCGTGTACCTCACATCTGCTTCCCACCTCAACTTCTCGCAATATCCCAGCTCTCCCATCACTATTTCCACCATCTAATCATCTCACAAACAATAATCAAATTCAATTTATCAATCATCATAACTAACTCACCATTCACCAAACACTACCTAGCTTCACTTCTCCAAATCAAATTTGATTATGTCATTTTCAAAGCTTACAGTCCCTACATTTTAGGATACATACAACTTTAAAGTTTCACAAATGATAGGGTACACAAAATCTCAGTCACAAACAATTGGTACGGTGTTGCCTGTGAGCACAGATAGGAGTTGTTTGTGTACACAGACATTAATTTTCCTGTAAAAAGTATACATTAATTTCCCACGAAATAAATAATTTAATTCCAAATCTATATAATTGTAACACTTTTAATTTGCTATTTTAAAGTATGCAATTAACCCCAAAAGTTTACATTTTTGAAATACATGATAATGATGTGAAAATAACTTTTTATATAAAGTTTGGGGTATTTAAATTACATATACAAATTTGGGGTAATTATCTCACGTTCCTTCAAAATTAGGGGTAATTTTATTATTTTCCCTTTTTGGAATAAGTATTTTGCACGTGATCTAATACAGTGAGAAATGAGAATTGTGTTTGGGAGTTATGCATAGGAAAAATTAAAGGAAAAAATATTGTCAATTACAAATTCTGTGTCAAAAAGAAAACAAAATTTATTTTGGAATTGACAAAAAAGAAAAATATAAAGATTAGTATGGGAGTCACGGAGTGTATTATTTTTAAAAATCATGCATTCACCAGTGATCATAATTCATACGGAGTATTAATATACAATGTCGTATGAAGTGTTTTACAAATGACATGCTTTGGAATTTTTATTCGACTATTAAGCCTGTCATTGCGTTAATTTGATTATTAAATTTGTTCCGTAGTTATGACATTAATTGATACTCCGTAACTAAATAGCATCTGCATTCATGCTATTTAAATAAAGATAAAAGAGTCAAATAAGACCTTTTACTATTATGAAATAGTCACATAAGGTCATGTACTCAATAAAGTGTCATATAAGTACATCTACTTCTAAAAAGCAATCAAATGGGTCCTAATGACCTATTTAACACCTCTTAATCCCTGTTTCAACGTACTTATTACTATCTTTTTAGAATACATTATACGGCATATGTCAAATATTTAACTATGATTGGTTGAAATACAAGTCAAAAAAAATCGACAAGTAAGCTAAAATCGGGATTATGAGGTGTTAAATAAGCCGTTAGGACTCATTTGATTGCTTTATACGAGTAGATGTACTTATATGATACTTTATTAAGTATATGGCCTTATGTGACGAGTTCGTAATAGTAAAATGCCTTATTTGACCCTATTCTCTTCAATAAATGGATTTTTAATGACACCTAGAATGACACGTAGATTTTTTCAAAATAATCTCACACCTTTTAAATTACACCATTCATCATCTCAAAATAATCAGATCTTTTGTAGATTCTACACTCACCAATTAATACTAGCTGCACAATAATCTTGAGATAATCTGGATTCATATTTCAATCCAGGAATATTTTGTCAAATAATCTCACCAAATAATCTACATTACTCAGTCATGATCTCTAAAATAATCCGCCACATCACTAACTTAATCCGCAAACAATCCTATGGATGGAGATGCCCTAAATAGAACTAAAGTAGTCTTAAATGCAATAATAGGAATATAACATTTTTATTCCCAAAATAGAGTAATGTCAATTCTTCCTATTATTTATAATAGATTTATTTTATTAATTATATAAGCAAATCATATTTTAATTTGTAATTAAAAAATACTTTAACCAAAAATAGCCTTATTCTGTCATTAATTCAAAAAAAACTTTTACAAAAATTAGCCTTATTTTATACATCTACTCCATTTTAGTTGGTCCACCATCAGAAAGCGGTCCAGCCCAACTGATCGTCAACTCATTCTCCCTTACGGGAGGTCTCGTGTTCGAAACTCAATTGAGTGAATTTCAGCCTAGATTACTCCAGGCTCCCCTAACCCTCTCCTCACGATGCCCCCAGAAGTAAAAAAAAATGGTCCACCATACAATAAAAATGGCTCATTAATCATTTTCCAAAGAAAGCCGTAAAATAGATTATATGACGGTCCGTTTGGCGACCTTTATTTTGTGCTTATTACCCATTTAATTTATTAAAAACATTATTTTTTATTTCACTCGCTAAATTGTGTAATAATCAAAATAATAAAATTGAAGTCACTTTATTGACTGAATTGACTAAATATATTGTAGATGAAGAGTTTAGCTATACTCATGTTAGTTTTTCTAAAATTTATTAATTAATTATTTTTAATTTATTTTTTCTATAATTGATCATATTCAATCAATTTGGATCACTACAATGAGAATATCATCAATTTTAAGACATTCTAACTGATTTGCCGCCTGTTTAAATTAGAGTTAACAATACACACGAGAATCCTCTCTCTACGCTCTTTCAAGTTTTCTCTCTAGGGGCTTAGCGTCACGTAGGGTTTTATCTCCACAGCGGCTTCGCCGTCGCGTAGGGTTTCATTCCGTCAATTATTTGTGCGGCTCTTTTCTCTAAGCTTCTAGTGTGATTTTTAAGGAGACGTGAGTGTGGTTGCAACTTTTGAAAAGGAATCCAAGTTTCAAGAAATGATAACCATGTCTTATATAGATGATATTGAGCAATGTTGTCTCATTCCTGCAATTGAGGAGGAGGTCGAAGAGTTAGTTTCTAGCAAATCAACATGGGTAGAGGAGGGTGGTGATAATGGAGGCGGAACAGCCGACGAGAAGACGGGGAGAGATGAAGGGCTGAGCAAGCGAGAAGACGGATTGGTGGTCTGCCCCCTCCTAAATTGCCGCCTTGGAGCGATTGAGGTGCTAGGGTTTGGAAGATTTATCGGTTATTTAATTTTTTATGGCTTTATTTTCGCGTTATGGTTTACGTTGCTCTATTTTTGTTGATATCTTTAATTTTATGTCTACAATTATGATTGACAATTTAGTTAGATATTATGTCGTTAGAAGAATATATATAGCCAGTAATTGCCGTGTCACATTCACTTAGTGATTAACGATCCGTATTACTCTTTCAGGGGCGATCGGTTCTGTATCTAGTCGTAGGGTTAATGCTAGTTGGTTAGGGATATTTGTTGTTAGAATTGATCTTTTTGAATTTGTTGTAACAATCTGATTAGTAATGATTTTAATATAAGCAATTTGTTTTGACGATAAAAAACAGAGTTAACAATAACAATCTCCTCATGGCATGATGAGTACTACTTAAACCGAGGCCAAAATTTGTCGGATACCAAGGGCTGCAGGAAGATACGTGTGAATCTCGGGGAGTAACATAATCGCTGATTCTATGGACAGTTCCGCACGCTGCTTTGGTGTCAAAAAATCCAATAGAAGATTGCGTTTTGTGCCGTAGGGTCGCCTTCCACTTTAAAATAACGTATATTTCGGCATAATTACCATTTTGAATTTATACCATCTATAGAAATGATGCCTAATCATTAAAAAAAGACTCAGCGCACGGAACCCCATTTCATAAAAAACAAAAGAATATCATTAGAATTGGTCAACTAATTACATTACATATCTTCCACAAAAAAGACTAATTACATTACAAAACTACACATAGTACCTTCCTGAGTACAAAGTACTTAACGTCCCGATTCACGAACATTAACAAAGTCAAAAGGTTTGTAAAAACTCAAAGTCAAAAGTAAAAACTGGGGTAATAACAAGTTCTGTTTTCATAATTAAAGAGTTAAGTTGTGCTTTAATCCCATTTTTATAAAGTCTAATTAATAATCCGTGTGTGTTATCATAATAAAGAAGTCAAGAAACATGGACACCAAAATTATGTCCTAACTTGTTGTGGTTATTAGATCATTGGACGTAAGTTAAGCCACTTGTAGAGTTGTAGGTCAAGACCGGCTACCAATGAAATTTGAAAGACACTCTTTAAAAACTTAAATGTGGAGTCTGTCCATATGAAAATAGTGTATATGATCAACGTCTTAGGCCTTTTTTGGTTCAAAGGAGGGGAGGGAAGGGGAGAGTCAAGGAGGGAAGGGAAGGGAAGGGGAAGGAATGATTTTGATAAAAATTTGTGTTTTGTTGGAGGAAATAGAAGGAAAGGCTTAATGAAAATATTTTCGCAATTTACTTATATTTGATAGCTTACTTAAAAAAATAGATACATGTCTAACTATTGTGAATATTACTCCTATGGTCATGAGTCGTAATTTTATTTTATTTGATTTTTTACTTTTTTTAATTTTATAATTTTTCATTTTTCAGTTTGGAATTTTTAATTTTTATTTTTTAAATATTTTTAATTTTAATTTTTAAAATTTTTAATTTATAATTTTTCATTTTTTTAATTTTTAAAATTTTTAATTTTTTAATTTTTTAATTTTTTAATCTTTAAATTTTTAAATTTTTAATTTTTTATTTATTTTTCAAAACTTTTTGTTTTTTATCTTTTTATATATAACATTTTGTTCATTCACGTAGGAATTAAATTATTAAATTTTTAATATCGAAATGTTTTTCTTAATTTTTTAGTATTTTTTACGAATTTTTATTATTTTTTATTATTTTATTAGGAATTAAAACATTTTAATAGCTATAACTCTATAAGGGTATAATTGTCCAAAGTACACATAATTAATCATGTGCAAACATAGTTTATTTTTTGGTCCTATTTGTGAAAAGTAAATGACTTTTAGTCCTATTTTGATAATTAACTCTAGAATTTAATGATTTTAACAACCGTTAATTAAACCATATGTAACTCCCTAATTCCTTCGCTCCTGAAATAATTTGCAACTCGGAATTTATTGCAGCCGGATATGGGGTTAAGCCGTCATCATTTTCTAAAAATAGGTAGAAAAGTAGAGCAGCTAGGCTAATTAATGAATAAGGCGGCGTGATAGGGATAGTGGGTTTACCATGTCAACGGTGGAAGGATGGTGGTCATTTCGGTAATTTAGGGCCACCTCAAGGCAATACAAAACGGGACCGGCATTCTTGGGTTTTCGGGCCGGGTCAAACTGGTGACCTAGATCCCTTGGCACGGATGGCCAGCCATTGTTGGGATCATCGCTGTTGACGAACACAAATCCTTCCACGTAGTCAAAGGAGCTGTCCCGAGTCACCAGTGACTCGGCGTCCCGAGTGAACTCATGGAACTCACTGTACACCACTCTTATCCACCTCACCTGCGGCACACCCATTATTAGTACGTAATTCAAAGAGAAAATTAACTCACCAAAGAGAAAATTAACTCACATATGACTAAACTTTAATGTGTTTCCCAAAATATGACTTCTATCTTTTTTCTTCCCAAAATGATAGTGTTTCGTATGTATAAAACTAATATTTAATCATATTTTGGGATGTACAAAAGTAGTAATCATATGTTCTGAAATTGTCAATGTTTTAGTCATATATTAGTAAATATCCCTAATTCAAAAGCAAAACTATTGATGGAATTTGAAATGCGAAAGAATTACAGTAAAATACTAACCATATCCGGGGCGGGTTGAAGCAATACCCGTGCGCGGGTGATAATACCGAATTGCCCAAGACCACCGAGAACCGAAAAGAAGAGTTGGGAATTGTGGGAGTGAGAACAGACGGTTATATCCCCGTTACCGGTGACCACTTCCAGCTCAGTTACGTTTGACGTTTGTGGGCCGAAGCGGAAAGCCTGGCCGCTAACGCCGGCGTTTGACAGCGTCCCGCCTACCGTTAAATCCAGGTAATCCGTCCACGACCGCGGGGACAATCCGTATCCAAAGGCGCAGCGCTTCAGCACGTCGGACCACAAGGTCCCGCCGCCGACGTCTGCGTACGGGCCTCCGTATTTGCTACAGTGACGAGAGACGGTTATTCCGTTAAAGTCAGAGGCGGCGTTCAGGGTTTTCATGTCGACAACGACGCCGCCCTGAGCCATTGCCTGTCCTTGGATGGAATGGCCGTTACCCCTTGCGGCCACCGTGAGGGAGGGTGACCGCAACGCAATCCTGACAACCCGCGCCACGTCATCTGCATCCGCTGGCCTCACAACGCATAACGGTTTCGCCGCGTGCATGCCGCCGAAGTCCTTAGCCGCAAAGCCGGTCGAAATGGAACCATAGTCGTGTACAATGCCCTTCAGTTCCTCCTGGATTAAAATGTCATCGTTCCCCTGCTCCGTTGTGGAATGGGAAGTGCAGTTTTCTGGCACATAACGACGTTCAACTAAATAAGCTACCATCTTCTGAACGAATACGATCGTTTACTGCCGGTCCACCAAACACTAAAAGAATACGATCTGCTGAAATGAGATATGAATCTATGTTGCTTTCTGTAATGAATGTCCAGAGAGGAAAGGTATTTAAAAAAAATCATATATCAAGTATACGAGAGCTATGTTGCACGGATATGGATACGTGAATACGGGGATACACCAACTTCAAAAATTATGGGATTGACGTATAGTGTATCGGGGTAGCTTATCCGAAAGATTATTTTGGGGAATAATCTAGAGAGAAAACAGAGCAATAACTAAGAAAAAGAGTGTGTATTCAGTATGAATGTTGTGTTGATTACAATGGAAAGTGACCCTTATTTATACTAGCCATAAATGCTAGACAATGACACGTGTCAAGCATCTGACGGTCGAGAGTCACCTCAATCGGGGTGGTACCAACATTTACATGTGCACCGCATTAAATGCGGTTGTTAGATATGATGTCGCATTAAATGTGGTGATTGCTTGTCTCTAAAAGGAATCTTCGCTTAGTTTGTTGTATGCCAAAGGTGTAGGTGTGGAGTACTGAGGGCATGGTACGCCGAAGGCAATATATAGCCGAAGGCTATATACAGCCGAGGGCTATATACAGCCGAGGGTGTGGAATAGCCGAAGGCTATCATTTTGACATCCCAGAAATGCCCAAAAGCTTAGCAGGTCCATGTCAAGTTGTCTTCTACAATTTGGAGTCTTCGGCCATAGGAATAGCCGAAGGCATTTACATGTGCGACATGGGCTTCCTCGTGCTTGGGCCACTTTGTTTGGTCTTTGTGTGCTCTTTGGGCTTGACGGGCCCGTGTAGGAGGAGCAGGAGTCTGTGAGCCGGGGGGTCCCCGGGCCATATATTCCATCACGGATATATACGGCTACGGAGTATATTTATAAATAATAATATAATACTCCGTATATAATTTGCAAATTCATATAATTTAGAGGTTCATAAAATAAAACAATAACAATAACAATACCAACAATTAACAATTACTCATATACTACATTTTGAGTAATAAAATTTCAAAGACTAGACTAAAAACACTAAAGTACTAATATTTCGATTTAAATTCAAATAATATTTTTAGTTCTCTATTTGCATTTACATCTAAGTCTTTTAACAAAATTAGTATTTCACTCGTGCGTTGCACGGGATGTAAAATGAAGATATTACATGTTAACCACTTAACCTATATATTTAATTATATGTGTGTTATTTTTATCACTTGAATGAGGGTAACCATTTATAATTAAATAATAATAAACATTAGTTAGAAGTTTAATAAGCACACATGTTGTGAACAACATTTTTTGCAATTTTTCTGATTTCCCTCGTCAGTTGCATTACTTGCATATCACGGACTTCAAGCCACTCAGATTTATCACCTCAAAATTGCAACATATTACATACACCCTCACATTATGTTTCACTTTAATGGGAGTATTTAAAAATCAGAACTACTTCACTGTTTGTACAAAAAAATCAAACAACAACTTAATTTAGAGTTCATACCAACTTTCAATTACTTATTTCATTCATGTATATAGTCTTTTGTCTTTTGCTTTCTATGGACATCTATTATAAAAAAAAGAATGACACTCCACCCCAGAGAGAAAATAAGTTGAATTTTGATCGCACCCCAATTAAAAAAGAAGGATTCATACGAAGTCTTTTTTTAGTTAACCCAAAACTTCTCCTTTATGAACCTGTATTATTTATTCACTTTGGGTGGTAAAACTAAGTTTGTTTATGATTTTAGTACTTTATTATTTTCTAAAAATTCAGACGAATGCATTCTTAAATTGGGAGAACAAACAAAAAATAAAGCAGGGTAGGAATTACTTTTAAGTATCAAAGTACCAAAATCATAAAGAACTCCATCAAATCTGAGACACACACCAGAACTCCACTACACATGTCTCTACAAAGTTCCAAGAGAGGGAGAGATTCATAATAGTAGTAGTAGTAAACGGATACATAACCATGAAGGAAGCTGCTAGAGCATTTCCAAAATCAGTGCCACACTCAAAACGGATACATAACGCGTATCAAACTGCTCATACTGTATCAGACAATCTTAGTGGGATGGTGACGTGCACTTTGTCGTGGTGTGCACTCAAAATAAATACAATACAACACTTATACGTAGTATAGTGTAGTAAGGTTCGTATTCTCAGGGAAAGGAATATTTCTCTTTAATTAAATAGTAACAAGGTTTTTTTTATGATTGTTGATGAACTTAAATGTATTTAAATACTAAGATGAATGACTTATGTGTTTTAGTTAATAGAGATAAAGACTTGGTTTTGTTTTTATCCACTTAATCAAATGTTCGTTGATCCCGGTTATATCTTTAATTATCTTCCTCTCGAATACTCAATCGAGGAGTATCTCCATTTCATCGAGGGTAGTTAATAATAACGAGACGCATTCATTAATAAAACTTACTACCGAGTCAATATAGAACACGCGTAATATATTAACCCGATAGTAGCAATAAACTTAAGATGACAACGATTGAGATTGATAACCTCAAAACAAGCGGTTTATTGGTTTAATCAATATAATTAATTCCCCCTAGATTATTAACCGTGAGACGCATGCATTATGATGGAGTATTAACTCCTAGAGAGAAGCGAGGGCTAGAGAGAGAAGTGCAATAACTCTTTGCAATAAATGATTTGTGAACCCTCTACAACTACCCCCAAGGGGAGTATTTATAGAGGAAATTAGGGCTGGGCTCCTAAGTCTTGGGCTTGGGAGGCCCATTTACAATTGGGCCACTATTGGGCTAAGTACAAAATATGTAAAAGTAGCTAAGTGAGAAATCCGGTTCTGGGAGCCCTTTGTGACTGACGGAGCCATGGCTGACGGAGACCCGGCCGTTGGGGACACTCGGTTCTCCTGGCTTCTGGACCATATTCTGAGTTGATATCTTTCTGGCCGATGGAGGACCATCTGGCCGACGGAGGCCCCACTGGGTGACAGATGTGCCTCTTATTCTTCTGACTATGTGGGTCCTAGGGTCCAGGCCCATATACTCCATCAGGAGTCCCCCACTCTCTGAGCTGAGGTGTAGATGAAGTGAGGGAGAGTAGATTCCACAATCTCGATGTCTTCTGGCCGTTGTGGCCATTTCCTGTTTTGGTTCTTCGTTTTTGGCCGTTGTATGCCTTTCGCTGTGGACGAAGAAGGCTGATGTTCCTTTGGACGGGGTGAGTTTGTTTGTTTTAAGGACGATGAGTGTCCTAGCTCAGTGGCCGGTATGTGCTCTTGATTTGAATGGCCGATGCGGGTTCTGTTTCTTCTTTCTGGTCATTGTCGGTTTTTTGGTGACTTGGCCGAGGAGGCCTCATGATTGCTTTTGTGCCTAAGGCCAAAGCGGTAATATCCGTAGCTTGGTATCCACCTTTGAGGACGATAGCGGCGCTGACTCAAAAGGAGCGCGTACTTTGATCTTATGGACGTTGGGTTCTCAAAAGGTGTGATCTCAGACCAATTGAATGGCGTGCGTCCAGGGACGATACATGTTATATTTTGGGAGGAATACTTCTTTGTTTGCTGACTTTGTTGCGGCCGAGGGTGCACCACAAGGTCATGGTGCATATATGATCTAAGGTTGTAGTTGTGGACTTAGTGTATTTTTGGATTTTTTGTTTTGTCCTTGTTTGCATGCTGGAGGCCGGTGTAGTCCCCCAGTCCCCCACTGCTCCAGGCCGAAGAGTGAGCGAGGAGTGGAGGAGTAAGGTGTAATCCTAGGCCGAAGCGGGATCCTTGTATTCCCCTGAATCCAACCCCTTGGCGATTCCTGACCAAGGTAACCCTGTGGGAGAACCCTTGGACGCAGGTCGCTTTCAAAGAGTTATCATTAGGGATTTTATACAAGGTCGATGGCTGTTGAGTTGTTTTTTGCTTTGCTGTTATGGCCGTTGAAGGGGCCCTGTTGTTGGTAATGTGTTAAGTGATGCACACTAATTAGTAGTGCATAATTACATGTTTTTATGTTTGATTTATGTTAATTGTTTGACGTTTTATTTAGTTTGTAAACATTTATGTGATTTCAGTTGTAATTGTATTTTAGTCTTTATTTGTCAGTTGTAAAGTTTAGTTAGGATTTGTGGTGTTGGAAAGGAAGACTTTGAAGTGAAGAAAAAGAAGATTTGGCTGCCCAGGAGCAAATACCCGACCGGGTATAACACTTGACTCGGTCGGGTAAGAAGTGAAAAACGAAAATGCAAAGAAAGTGCATGGCCCGGTCGGGCCCACTACCTCACCCGGTCGGGTGAGAAGTGACCGGGGACAACCCGGCTTGCAAAGATCACCCGAACGTGAAGAATATCCAATTTTTGCACTCACCCGGTCGGGTCCCCTACCCCACCCGGTCGGGTCTGACTTGACCCGGACACTTTAACATGCCGAAGATCGCCAGAACGTGGAGGATATTTGATTTTGACATGCACCCGGTCGGGTAAGTACTATACCCGGTCGGGTACCCGGCCAAAGGTGTTGAAAAACACCTATAAATAGCACTCTTTTTCTCCTCTAAAAATCATCCCTTCTTCCATACTCTTTAGCTCAGTTTAGAATAGCATTTCTTTATATTTTTCTAGCTATGTTTAGTCTCCAAATGAGGAGCTAAACTTCCATTCTTGGTGTTGCTCTTGAAGCTTGTTGATTATTAAAGTTGTGAGTTATTTTCTTAACTTCTTTCCTTGAATATTAATTAATAGTTCTTTCCTTAATACCATCTCTATATTAATGTTGGGGAGTGTTGCTAAGATGACAATTAGTTAACATCTCGACATTAGTTAGAATGGTATTTTCTTCCTCTATATTAATGTTGGGGAGTGTTGCTAAGATGACAATTAGTTAACATCTTGATATTAATTATAGTAGGATTCATCTTCTTTAATAATATTCTTCCTTGAATATTAATTAATTCCTACTCTTATTTCATATTAATATTTTGAACATTACTTAAAGGATCAACTAGTTTTGTTTCATATATTAATTATTACTAGAAACGATCAACGAACCGATGGTTAATCGTTGATGGTTTCACGAGTA